GGATATAAAAACTTTGTGTTATAAGAATTATTAATACGTCAAGTAAGCTTAATAACGCTAAAAAAGTCTTGAAGTAACTCATCTGAGGTTTAAAAAGGCTAAAGTGACATTTACATTGTTTTATGAGTTGTTTCGTTCATTAGCGAGTTAACGGCGTAGGCAAGTCTGTTATGGCGTATGAAAGGTTCGCGTTTTGAAGTCTTGAGCTTAAGTGTCAAGTAATAAGGTTGGTAAATCACGAACTACTTTAATTTAGTCTTAATATACGGTTAGATATTTCTTAAAGTAATTCTAAACATGCAAATTGGCGAGTTGGCAAAAAGCATGATTGATGATTTTATACGTGGGCAAATTGGTGTGGGCAAGTTGGTCCATGGGCGAATTGACTGTAAACCACACATATAGAGGGTAGTTGCTGTCAGATGTCAACCAATTTTAAGCAAGCAAGCAAAGCAGGTCTAAAAGTACACAAACATCAAAATGAAATAAAGTCCAAGGCCCAATCCACATACTTATCCAGATATTTTTTTAATGGAATTTCTTCATTGTGGAGTGGCCTTGAAAATGAAACTTTTTCAATAGTGAATGTGTGTGGACTGGAAAAAGGGATTTGAAAACGCCATGTATGAACAAGGTGTCTTTGGAAATGGAGGAAAAAATGCCATTTTCAAGAACATTCAGATACTACCAGATACCCAAGATACCAGAATTAAAGAAAAACAAAACAAAACAGCAAATAAAAWAATATCTATTTAAATAAAGTATGATTAGAGCTAAAATAGTGGATGTGTCAAGTTTAAATTTCCTTAAAATTTAAAACAATGGACATTTAAATTATGAAACAGGGTTTAAAATAATGGCCAATCAGTTTCTGGTCATGATCCCAGGCCAAATTAGCTTTAAGTCTGTCCTTATTTCTGACTAAACGTTATTTGTCAAAATGAACACTTATTGGCACACCTCAGACACACACAGGCAAGCTTTACTTACCGTATGCTCAAGTCTTTGGTAATATATTTTACATCTCTAAACATGATTTTGCCAGACAAAATGGAAAGGGAAAAGGAACCTATGCAAAGAAAACAACAAACAATAAAACAAAGTTATAAAAAGTACTGAAAAGATTGATATCTATTGCATTCAAAAAGAGAATTATTTATTTTATAAGTTGAAAACTTCTATAGTTTGTGGCACAGCAGTAAACAATAGAGTTCTTTCCTCTCTTTTAAATATCACTGGTGCTGGAATGGAACCCACAAGGAAGAAGGAAAAAGGTGGGAAGGCTATTACAGTCATGGAGGAGGTCACATATCACATGGGTAGAGTGAAGAAGACTAAGTAATTAAGTGTAAACATCAATGAGTGAGTAGAGTTTGTGTGCAAACATTGTTAGAATGTAATGTGGAGTACTATAATATATAAATTTAGGCACTGCCTAAATGTGGAGCTCCCAATAGACACAGGGAGCCCAATTTAGATAAAACTGAAAGATTAAAATAAAKTCGGGGTAAAAATCTTCAATTGTTTTTCTTCTTCAAGTTGAAGATAATGTCTCCCATAATGAAAAAAAACATGAAGTGAAAAAATGCAATCAAAATTCACTACATCATTTTCTTCGCATCTTCAAGTCTTTGTTTTCGACCTTACTACTCTCCCACTTAGGAATTTTGTCACATGTACACAACCCACGACCAGCCACCCCAGGGCTAGTTTTGTTCTTGAAAAATTCCTCCACAAAGTTTTCCACACTTCCRACACTTTTATGCTTTTAATTCCTGGTTTATTTTTATTTGAAAAACGAAAGATAACTAAAGATAATCCATAACAATATCAAGTTTAGTGAAATACACCTTGGATGTCTTTCATTAAAATCCAAATTTCAGAGATTTCCGATTTTTTTATGGACAAATCAACACTATGAAACAGACTTGAAAACTGGTTGAAATAAAGTGAGCAAAATGTGAGCTTACTTTACTTCTTTTACACAATGCTGTTTGGTTATCCATATGAAAAGTTTTGTGTTTTCAAAAGAACTGTATTTTTACAGAAATGAAATTAAGAAAATAAATGCTTTGGTAGCATCAGAGAGAAAACTAGCTGCAGATCATTAAATAAACAAAACCTGGGCCTGGGTCCATGGCCTGTGCTATGGCCTACCTTTTCTTTCTCATTTTATATTTTCCTTTATGAAAATCATCCTTGGAYAAATTCCACCGTCAGAATTCAATCAATGCAGCCATATTTGTTTTATTTCACAAGAGTGGGCACAGAGTTATTAATTGGGCTTCCTGTGTTGCTCATCATATCATCTGCTGACTAAACGTTTTCTCATTACTATAATAACTTTTCATTAATTCTTTGAGGACTAACTGTGTGACTTCCTTTTAATAACATATCTACAAAAAATATGAGTGTCTAATCAAGTTCCCGGATGTGTGTAATAATTAACTGCATGGTATTAAGAAAAAATTCACAGTTCCTCAGCCAATGAGAAACGAGTATTTCTATAGGTATGTTATTTATAGGTATGTTATCAATTCATTCATTTACTAATTAATATAAATTCAATCATTTCTTGCTGTTTTTATTGAATTATATATTTTTTTTCTTCGTTTTAAATGAATGATTTATTTTTTATTCATTCATTCATTCTTTTATTTATTATTATTTATGATGGAGGAATTTGTCAAAGGATGATTTTTACAAAGGGATATATAAAATGAGTAAAAAAAAGGTAGGCCATAGGGTAGGCCATAGGGTAGGCCATGGCCCAGGCCATGGACCCGGGACCAGGTTTTGTTGCTACCCCGGGATCCCTGTGTTGTGTACATGGACATATGGATGGACGGAAGTGACGCCAGCCAAGCCATGAAAAATCAACTTGATGGTTTACTATTTTTTCTTAAGCATGGTACTCCACGCAGGAGCTCTGCTATCAAAAGTCTGCATATTGCATCTTACAATAGGTAAGCAAGTTATAAACTGATGATGAATATGACAATAGTCCATTTCATGGTTACCTGGACGCCATCTTGGATTTGCATGAAAGTGAGGCTGACCTTGATTCGTCTGGAAAGGCTTGAAAAGTTTATACGGTAGTTCCTGTCTGGTGACTGTTCAAGTAAAAATGAGCTCAAAACGTTTGAAAAAAGAGAGAAAAAGCGTAGGTCCGCAATGTCGGTGCTGCCTGTGGCTGTACGAATTTACAAGAACCCAGACTTTAATTTTTCCTCTTTCCCGAGTGACAAATCAAAGCGAAATCAATGGTGTAATCTCATAAAGAGACAGCACGGCCATGATGGATTCTATATCACGAGGTCAACAGTGGTTTACAGTAGTCATTTTTCAGAAAAAAGACATTGATAAAACATTAACTGGGATCAAGAAACTGAAAAAAGGTAAGCTTAAAGGTAAACTTTTTTCATGGTGTTACAAGCAAACCGGATCAAGCAAAAGATTTATCATTGTTTTTGAAATTTACATCATGCAGACGCGGAACCCTCACTTTGGTCATCAATGGAGTAAACCTAAAGATACCAACAAAAGAGCACTTCCTAAATCAAGAGAAGTTAAGACACTGGACAAAAGAACTGAAGATATTGTAACTACAGTCAACTCTCGCCTTACGGACACCCCCCTATTACGGACACCTCRATATTATGGACAGGAAATAAATCCCCGGTGAAAAATACAAAGAAATGACTGAAAGTAACTCCAGTTATTACAGACTCTCGCTATTACGGAATTACAGACACTTCAGGTGGTCCCAATCGCACGTTTTCATTGTTTGACTCTGGTCATAACGGACACATTCTGTAATTAAATACTGCAGTACATTCACAATTTCAAGTGGTTTATTGAAAAATAACCAGATACAGTACAATTTCGTATTGAACTTTCTTGCTCAGCGTGGGCTGACTACGATTGCTAGTGAGTTTTCAAGTTTAAGCAATAAAGTAGCAGAAAGTGCACTTAAAAAACAATCACGCCAAAGCACAATTGATAGCTTTTTCAAATCTTGGAAGAGTCAGAGTACAGTCTACTACAGTACTGTACCATGCAATTTTTAATTTTACGCTACTTTTTTATTCATAGTTTTCATACGATCTTATAAAGTTAAAGTTTGCTTAAAGGGACTCTGAGGTGCCAGACACATCATAGCTTAAAATGTACATCAAACCTTGTTGATTTTGAAAATCCAAATGAAAATTCCATGAAATGCGTTTTTTGGGGTGATATCGATCGATGGAATCGATCTTAAAGTCAACAATGTGTCGTGATGAAAACAGCTAGCTGATATGTGTTTATGTTGTTAAATGAGCTTATTAGGTAAAAGATTATGGGGTAAATGAAACATTTTAACGTAATTATTAGACATGACATGCATCACGACTATTGTGTCTGAACCGAGATGTGCTTAGGACTGCATTTAATAGTTTCTCTTCATGACAGAGAAGGCTCATTCCAAATTGAACAAATATTACAAATAAGTGAGTTTTTTAAAGTATTTTCTATTGCGTTCTTATATTCCAAATAAGTGAGCTTTTTTCAGTATTTTCTATTTCATATACGTATACGTTCAATGTATATTCATTTCGCTGAAATGCTTTTTCAGCCCTCTGCGTTGTGCTAGTTCTGATATCGCCAATTTATAATTACTGGTGAATGCACGGTTATCTTAGCAAAAAGATCAGCATGTGTGGTATCTAAGATATTAAAGATCTACCTTCCCTGAATGTATGAGGAAGATACTGGCTTTAAAGAAGATGGAAGTGAAGATGAAGTTGCTGACATGTACACCACATCAATTCCTTGAAGCCTTTCCTCGTTCGCCACTTCTTCTAGCTCACTGTCCTCGCTCACACTTTCATCGGGTGTATTATATTCTTCTCCTCAAGCAATTTCCGGCTCAAATTGATAAAGAACAGCCATACTTCCATAGCGAAAT